TAATAAGTAGGAAACTTACTGAAGACAGACGGTTCGTACTTGTATCATTCGTTGGGCGACCAGTGTCGTTCCGTTACGAGGTACATTTACGAAAAATGTTTACAAATGTACTCAGTTCCAATTAACGGCAGGATTTGCAGGTTATATTTTCTAACACCCATTCTTATACGTGTGAGACGGGGTAGTGTTGTGTTGATCGCGATAGTTCTGATACGTTATTCAGCGTTTATGTGAGTACAACCATGCCAATCAAGGCCGAGGTATACCAGCATATCTCATATATTGATGTTAGTTGAAAATCTTTCTTTCTTAAGCGCAACGAGCAGCTTTGCAAGATCTTTATCGGTGGTATAACGTTGAACACTACAGACGATGATCTGAAAGAGTTCTACTCCCAGTGGGGCGAAATCACTGACGTGGTGGTTATGCGTGACCCGTCTACGAACCGTTCCCGAGGTTTCGGTTTCGTCACCTACGCTGATCCTGAAATGGTCAATGCGGCGATGGGCGCCCGCCCCCATGTCATTGACGGCAAGGAAGTGGAACCTAAGCGCGCCATGCCCAAGGATGTAATTCAATAGTTTCTCTTTTTTCACGTATTTGCGTCATAATGCCAATTGTACTGTTCCGTGATATAATGGTACGGTAGTAATTTTTGCTTATTTCATATTTACCATTAGTCCGCATGACTCAGGTTGTTTTTTGTAACATTTAAGTACCTCCTGAGCTAGAGCAGTTCATTTATTTTCGAAGCAAACTATTTCCCGTTGGCCTACAGACTGCTGCGTTAGAAGGAATACGGACCATGGCCAAGAATGGCTGTACATTGAAATTTATTCTTTCCCTATTGATTTAATTTTTACTTTCGAAATTGATCTCAAGTGCTCTGGGAAGGTACACAGCCGAGTGTGACGTGGCTGGCTTGTCTGTAAACCTGTGTAAAACGAAAAGGGTAGTAGTTTCTCGTTCTCTTGCTTGCAGGGCTCTGCAGCTTAACAGAGATGCAGTGGAGCATATGGAAAAGTAAATTTTTTTTAGTCGTGTTTACTGGTGATGGAAAATTTGAGTAAGAGATCGACCGGCATATTGGAATAGTTGTGCGTGACCTAGCCCGAACCGTTGTTACTAAGGCAAAGCTGAGTCTGTCGACTAAGTCAGTTTTCATCACCATGCTGACTCATTCTCATAATTCGTGAGCCACTTCGATCTCAGGTCGAACGTGCCTAATATGGTCTTTCTGCCACGAATCGCTGGGCTCACGCTTCTCGACATGTTCCGAAGTTCAGCTCTCCGAGATGGCTTTGACGCGCTGCGTTTGCTTCTCTTCTGATCTTATAAAGTTTTAATTGCGATGTCTTCGACACGTCTTGCAAATGTTTTCCGAATGGTTGGCAAGAAACGCTACAACTTGCTGAACCGATCGGCCACATACCCCCAGAAATGGTCAAGAATAACCAGCGGCAATTGTCTCGCTGGACTGTGCTTCAGCATCTGGTTATCTTGCCGAAGTTAAAACGCTGGCACGATTTGGGACTGTTGGATACACTGTTTTACTCGTGTGACTGTCTGCGCGACTCGACGGAATAAGCTGTCATCGAAACTGACTGAATGACTGATTTTGATTTTTAATTACTCTTCTCGTTCGAGCATGATTGTCTTCGTTGTCGAGCGGACAAACGACACATGTACTCGCCGACATGACAGAGTGAAATTTTCTGAAGTATATACTCCTGGGTGGTCCGGCACCCGCGAAGCCATCTCATGAATACCGAAATTATCGATTAACGAGGCAGTGGTAAACTGCGTATAATAGGACTAATGCCTAATGCAGCAGACTGCGAATTCGTTTAGGCAGATTAGAGTCAATCCTCCATATTAATTAATGATTTCAGGAAGCATATTCTCGCCATGACCTCTTCCGTCTAAGGGAGGGTATGGATTCGCGATTGAATAAAAAGTAATTCCAGATAAAATGGTTAGCGTTAGAATTTGACGAGGAACGAATCTAATTCATGTTAAGCGATATAACTCGGGAAATACAGCGCAGGGTTGTTGCCCAAATCTTTCATTCCTGAGTTCAGAAGCGACATTTTTCTCGTTGTCACGAGTTTTCTCGCAGTCATCAGCAAGCAAGCAGTGGTAAAGATGTGGAGTCAATGTGTTTGTGCTACAGTTATTTAAATTGTGTACGAAGAAAAATAAAACCACTGTAGCAGCTGTTTATTTGCTGGCATTCGTTACTAGCTGGTTGCACCGCTGCAAAGTAGTGGTGTGAATTGTTTGTAGATTAGAAATAAGTAATATCATTTAAGTAAGGGGTATAGCAAGCGTGAATGAGAACTGTACTCTTGTTATGTAAGGTTTGCGAAAAGAACTCCACTACTTTGAAGCAGCTCAGCAAGGTGTAATCTAATATTGTAGTTGTTGCCTTGAATCATCTAGCAGGAAGAGAAGATGATTAATTTTATACAGAGTGTAACTGTTATTGAAACAGGTCGCAGATCGATACCTTCCTCCACGAGGTGTAATCTTATTTCTTGCATATTGGGTCCGGTGCTTTTTAGCGCTTAACTTCCGAAAATGGGGTTTTACGGAGTATGGTTTAGCTCTTAGATTTCTTGAGGGCTATTTCACCAGGCCACAGCTTCGAAGTATTTGAGTACATTATTAATAAACTCTGGCACATGAACACTCGTTTTTGATGTATTACGAAAACGTATAAAAAGTCGTAGGGGTTCTTGAAATACATCAGGAACGAGCAAAGTGTTGTATTCAATAAAATGGCACTAGACGTGTTTTATGGGTGCTTGTTAAACTGAGTCGTCGCTTCCCAAGCAGTTAGGAGCGCAGGGACAGGTATATGTCATATAAAGCCTACTGAGTAAAGGATGTCTTTTTATAATGGGTTAGTCTTTAAATCAGGTTTTCAGTTGAACACCGCTATATCAGCTTACCATTTCGTCGTTTACCGGCACTCTGGGGTTCATTGTTGACCTCTGTGACTTCTAAAATAGTTGGCTTGAAATAATATTATTTCATGGGCGGCAAATGCATTGGTTCTGTCCCTAAGGGGTTTGCCATATCTTTAAGCGAGTTGCTGTACTCTTGCTGAATAGTTTTTACCAATGTAACAGTCAGTGTTGTGACGAGTCAAGTGCATTCTGAAATAGCAATTAAAAACAGTTTTTTACGATTAACTAGAGTTGGTTTGTACAAATACGGGATTAGAAAATCATTTATTAGCCATTAGACATAGTTATACTGTGATGTCACATCGCCCTTTTTCTTCATAGAGTTATACGTGTTATTTGAACAAGCTACGGCTCCGTGGTACTTCGGCACCTACACTGTATGAATCAAAGCGGTATCACAATTTCGACTCGTGTATATGCATGTTTGTGACTTCAACGGAAGTTCCTAGCACTGCAGAAATTTTTAACCTCACGGCATTTCGAGATTAAAACAAGCTTAGAAATCCCGCAATGCATGACGAAAATATAAAATATTAAGAAATGTCAGTCGATTAGGTTAAAAGATCATAGAGCAGAATCGCATGGGAACATTTAGCGTACAAATTAACCATAACACTGGATAGAGGTGATACCTGACGTCAATTTTATGACTGAAACTGCGCGTAAAACCGTAAGCCCTAGAGACATTGGTCTAAAGGAAAGTCATTCGGTTTACCAGTTTAAACGAAATATATAGATTAAAATTCCAGCATGTCGTAAATATAAATAAATTAATTTTTGGTTTAACATGGAATTCATTCTGCTGTGTGTCGGTGCAGTCAACCGCGAAACTGTTTACTAGTCATTTTCTGTGAATACTAAAGACAAGTGATGTCTTGGTGTAGTCATGTTAAAGAGTAAAAGATTTGTGACGAAATGGTTCACTACATGCACATTACAGTTGCAACTGCTTGGACTCACCTGATAGCATAGTAAATAGGATCATAGTGTCAGAAAAATTCAAAGATCCGCCTTGACGATAATATGAGTCTATAATTGCCTTAATATCTTGAAGGTAAAGTAGTGGCAAGCTGTTAATAATAATAATGAAATAAAATTCTCTTAACATATTCAGTAATGCAGTAGTATAGTATTGGAACATTTGTGTAATTTGAATCTTGTCTTCTATGCCTTCAAGTTAGATACCGTTTAAGTTTTTTCAATGAAATGATTCTTCCCTGCGACAAATCTGTCACAAGCGTTGTAGTTCAACCAACATGAAAAAAGTTCTTCGTCTATTTTACTTTACTTTTATTTTACTTTTTTCTTTCTCATTATGTTCCTTTTGTCTTTAGTTCATACCATAAGCATAAAATTTTCTTATTTTAAATAATCAGCCTTATGTATCAAAATTGCTTGTGACTCCTGTCTTCAAGATGCTTAGTATCTTAACATATTTCGCTTGTGCGCAGTGATGACCTTTTTCACTTCAGGTTATGAACAGACCCGAGGCGCATCTTTCCGTGAAAAAATTGTATGTCAGCGGCATCAAGGATGACCACACGGAGGAAATGCTTAGAGACTATTTCGCATCGTTCGGAAACATACTTGAAATCGAAATCAAATTGGACCAAGTCACTGGCAAGAAACGAGGATTTGCATTTGTGACGTTTGACGACTATGATCCAGTGGACCGAATTGTTTGTGAGTTGTTTCACTGAATGATATATTCAATAAAAAACAGTAACAAGTATTTTTTAAATTTATTTGTTTGTAAGTGATTATGAAAGAAACAGTAATAATGTACATTTAAAAAGTATTAAAAACATGTATTGATCATTAAGTATTTTTAGGGTTAGAGTAAGCCATTGATTTTTTAAGACAGCGAATCTGAAGAATTTTTCATGCTTGAGTTTCATCGTTCCATCTGTCACATCTATTTTTTGTAAAGTTTTAATAAAATTGTGATAGAGAGACGAACCTTTATGACCTTTGGAATGTTTATGTTCCTTGCATTTTCATGATGGGCTATTTTTTGCGCGTTTCTTTTCGTGAAGTTAATGGTAGGGGCCCATTGATCTCCATTTGTATTTTATCAATCAGAAGAGCTTTATTTTAAAAGCACAGCAACAGCTCTATGGAAAACTGCTCTCCTGTTCCTAACCTAGTGAGTGAT